GGCCTAGAACGTCGGCTACGACGCCGACCGCAAGTTGGCACGCGTCCCTGCCCTGTCCCCAGCCCTTCGTGCAGATGGGTCATCCCGACCAGGGGTCGCGGCATCCGTCCAGACCCAACGCCGAGTTCCGCCAGGTGGCCTTGGCACCCACGGCCCGTGGCCACGGGCACTTCGCGGAGGGCCTTCCACAGCTCGGCCCACGTGGGGGCTCGTGGGGGCCGCCCGCCTCGGCCGCGCCCCAGCACACTCACGAGTCCCTGCTTTGCAGGTACGAAGCCGAGCTCAGTCCCGTGGACCAGAAGCTGAGCGTCCTGAGGTCTCCGCTGGCCCAGAGGCCCTTCTTCGAGGCGCCCTCGGCCCTGGGCACCGTCGACCTGTACGAGTACGCGTGCGACGACGCCGACCTACAGCCCTCGTGATGTGCGCCCGCGGCCGGGGGTCCGGGCCAGCCGGCTGGACGCGAGGCAGCTTGTGTGTAAAAGTCAAGGCTGTTTGATGTTGAGCTGTCTTTTATAGAAAGTGAAGTGATTTGTAGGAGATGACGAATTTTTATTCGACACGAAGCGGGTCACGTGGTCATGGAGCTCCTGTCCCCGCCTGGCCAGGAGGGGCCGACCCCCGTGCAAGAACCCCTGGCTGGCAGGCCCCGCTAGCCGTCGAGTTCAGGCGTGTGGACACTTACGCGGCCTGGCCGACGGCTCCCCTCCAAAGGAGCTGCCTCGGGGTCGCCGGCCGTGCGCGGACTTCTGGGTGCCGGGTGGCCCCGTGTTCTCACGGAGTCGGTCGGGAACATTCCAGAAGCCCCAGGACCTTCCGTCTCGTCTGCACGAGCGTCTCCGGGCACGGCCCGGGCCACGACCCTCCGTGCAGGGTGTGGGAGGGTGCGCTCCCTCGAGCGTACTTACGTTTTCATGTACGTGTACAAAACGTGTAAAGTTAACTTTTATTTGGTGTGTATAGCGATTTAAAAACGTTTTACGAGATCACGTTTGTATTTTCAAATAAAGAAGTTACAGACTCTCCGTGCCGGGCCCGGCTCGCCCAGCCCACAACACAGACACAGCACACAAAGGTCACAGAGAACACGGACACCAGGCAGCGACGCTACTGGGGGCACAGGGCAGTGTCACGAGGGAGACTCCGTCTGGCACGGACGGCTCTGGGGATGGGAGGCCCGGCCGAGGGTCACAGGCCCTGGGCCTGGAGCGTCCAGCAGATGGCCGTCCCCGCAAGGCCTGCAGGCGAGGCGCCCGTGCTCCAACCCCACGGCCGGGGGGGGGGGGGGGGGGGGGGGGGGGGGGGGGGCTGGTTCTCCGTGCGGGATGCGCGGGGGGCCGTCCCCCTCTACACAGTGGCCGAGAAGGGTCTGTGGTTTGGCACCAACACGAGATTTGAAGGGCAGAAGGCCCCACCCTGCATGTCCGGGGGAGGGTGGCCCAAAAGCATCCAGCCCAGGCCCCTGCCTCAGGTCCGCGCAGCCAGTC